TGATATCTGCACCCGTTTTCATCTTCTCAGACCATTCATACATGTATGAACGACTCATACAACTGTCATCGTACTGAATTCTCATCTGATGATGAAGTTACACAGGTTTCCGCTAAATAAAAATCTTGGAATAGTTTACCGCTCTTTTTTAGTACTGCCAAGAATACCGTCATTTTGTCTGTTTTCCGTGCTCCAGTGCGTGTCCTAAATACACTAACACCGTCTGGAACGGGACGTGATAGTAACTTTGATCTCTTATATACCCGGCACAACCATGATATCGGTTGTGAACGGGATTTTTAATGCAATTTTTTCAATTCCCTGCAGAATAATTTACCATTGCATAATTTACCACAGTATTCTAAATTGCTATTGAATTAACATTTTTTCAGGGGCCGATAAGGGGAGGGGAAATGTTGGATTACAGGAGATTAACAAAAAATAAGCTTTGATTGAATAATAATTGTTCTTTCTAACTTTATTTATGCCAAAAATGAAAGGTAAAAATGCATTTTTTATCATAAATCAGAGTAAATAAAAAAGAAATTACAATACGCAATAGAAAAATAATTTTTATACCTTTCAACAAGCAATGAGTCATATTATTCATTAAGAGTTTGAGATGTTCACAAACGACGGTTTATTTCATCTTTCTCACATAAATTTAAATTTAATTTGTATAAACTATTTGCCAAGTTTGGTGTTTATTTAATTATGCTAAACTAAGTTAAACTAATGCATTAAAGAGCAGCTGAAGGAACCAATAACAAGCAACAAGAATCGGCAAATTGAGTTAACCTGCAGTGTTATTCGTTCGAAGAATTAAACAGAACTTTTTTCTTCACAGCTTCACAGTTGAAAGTGACGAAAAGGAAACATGTGCTTATGTGAGAGCAACAGAGCAAGATTTTCGTCATTTGTCATTCCCGTAAGTGAAGAAGTTACTGTTAACCCGGTAAAATTATAGCACTGCTTGTTTATTCTTGTTACGCAGACACCTGTTGCTAATTATTGGTTTCGCTAACTTTTAGTTCTTTGGAGTGTTTTGCTGTAGATTACAGTAGTTTTACCAACTGATGCATAGCCGTAGGAGATGGGTCGCGAAATTACAATCGTACAATTTAAATCAATATTTTAAAATTATGTTCTCTTTTCCAGCGCCATATTTTCCAGTGAATCACTATTTTCTATGCAATGGAAATAGTTAAATATAAACAAGGAAACGGACTGGTGCATTTTAAAAAAGGATTTGCGAGTTTGTTTGTCAGTCATGGGACCACATTTTGGGAAACTCTTAAAGATATATCAAACATATACTTAAGATTTTTACTTTAAGTATTAAAAAAGTATAAATTTTAATATTAAGTTTCAAAACTCGTGTCACTGTGTCGCAGCATCATATGCCTCCAGTGAAATATGTTATCAATTCTAAAATTTGGGAATCCCTGAATAGCAGAATCATTCGAAGACAAATAGTTAATAGACTCTAACATAATAGATGATGAGGATATTGCATCTGACTGCACCTTTCCCGCTTTCAACTAGAACGAATTTTGAATTCTAAAAGTAATAAGTCCGTATAGTCTTGCTGTTAATGTTTCCTCTGATTTTTCTCAAGTTACATGGGGCGGAAATGGAGCTCCAGAGAGCAAAAATATAGAATGCGCAGTATATTGTTTGAGCCATCGTGAATGTTTTGCATGCTGATTCCTGCATTTTAATATGCGTGCGAGAACTTCACAAAGTCAGTATGAAGGTTAGAAGAAACGTTACTTAACCATCATCAAAATAATTCAGCTTCAAAATTCTGAAAGTTCTAGAAAATCGATAGGGAAAAGTAGAAATAACCTAACGCATCATACATTTACATTTCACATTAATGCAGATGAATGGGCCAAAAAATTTCACTCCAAATTTAATCGAAGGCATTTCATTACCTAACCCTTAAATGATTTTTATAGTCTCGGAAGGGAGGACTAATTTCATATTAAACTTAAATCCTCGTAATGCTAACATTAAGTTTTAGATTGTAAGATAATTTATATGAATAATATACTTCCTTATACTTTTTACAGTTTTAAATTTAATAAATTGTGAATTCTAAAAATAATAAAGCAATATAGTCTTGGCATTATTTTACCAATAATATGCTAATATTTTCACGGAGTATTATTTCAAATATATTTATGCTACAGAAAAAGTTGACTGAAATCAATTCGAACAAGAATATGAAAGAAAAGTTATGTGTATCGCTTTAAAGAATTTTTGCAATAAAGATTCACTACCACAGATTGATCGAGAAAAGAAAGAATTATCAAAAGAAAGTAAACCGTTTCTTATCAAACCGTTTGCTCCCCCAGAACAATTTGTTCTGGATAAAACTGCACAAAGGTTGAAATACCCTTCCTGTTTTACTAATCCACAGGAAGATACCACGTATAATAATCTATACAATTAGGACAATAGTCGAAGTTAATGGGTTGCACCCTGTTGATTACTGAGGTATTGAACGGTTTCAGATGCTGGTTGTAAGCTATCCTGCAGCTAACCCTTCCGCTGAAGTTAAATCCTCGTTAGCCCCCTTCTGGTTTACAGTCAATCTCTCCCACTTCTGTACAAATTCTTTGCAGCAAGAGTTGATTTTAGATAACTGTCTATTTTATACGCTGATCGGTGCTCCAAGCTTAACGGTTAAATACGTTTTCCCAAAATTGCGTAGATGCGCACAAAAATCATAATAATATTCTTATATTCTTGTCTAATTCTCCATAATTCTTATATTCTTGTCTAATTCTCCATAATTTTTATATTCTTGTCTAATTCTCATTCAATAAGCAACTCATAATTTAAACTGGAGAAATGTATATATTTAAAAATATTTTCTGTTACCACAGCTTTCATGTTTAGTGAGTAAGCGTTTCCTGAAATCAATTTATTTGCGATTCAATGTTCACATATTTTCATGCAGCTCGTCAAGTTTCTGTAATCAAATATGAAAAATCAGTGACAATTTTCCATTGATGCATGGAAATCGGCTTTTCAAAGCCTATTGGAAAAAAGGTGCATAGTGTACGTTTCAAGCGGCCAGTTTTAAATAGTGGAACTAATTTAATCACTGTTTCCCAGTTAATGAAAGAAATGGTATTAAAATCACGTTTTTACTTCTGAAAATCTACAATATATGTTCATATAAACTAAAGTTCATGATTTCGTTCGTTCTGATTATTAATTTCGTTATTTCTCCTTCTTGCCCTGAAAATAGTAAAATGTTTATACTGAATCTTTCTAATGTGCGTGATTCCAAAATTAATATATATCGTGTAACTATCCTATTACTGAAATGACGTACATTCTTATTCTGTAAGTAATGTGAGAAATGAAACTAATATTATTTATACAATAAAAAAAAATTTAAAAAAAAAAAAAATATTTGTCCACAACTTTTAGAATGGAAATGCTGTAATCATACAAATTTACTCTATGAGGAACGCTCTAATTATATGTGCTCTGATTATGCAGTTTTTCTTTCTGAGGAAAGTAGCTTTGTTCTGGCAGGTGACCCGACCCGTAACAGATTTTGGCTTTTCTTGTAGCTTTCTGACTGCTGAATCCAAATGTTACATCTATTTTTCACTATAATCCAACCATTTTAAGGGAAAAAAAGAAACTGAAGTCTTAGAATTTACAGCTTTTTTTATTAAAAGCTTTAACAAAGGGTTCAATGAGGTTCTGCTTTAGATGAATCTGTGGTAAATGAATATATCTGTTACTCATTAAGGCTTTCATTTACCACATTTTCAGGTACAGTGTAATTTTACCCGACTACTCCCATTGCATAATAATTAGCATGTTTGATAATAACATCCTTCCAGCAAATATTAATAATGCATAGCCTATAGATTTAGATAAAGATTCTATTTCCAAGGTTACATTTAGAAGCAATGCTCCAGTTTGTCAGTAACATCTCTTATATTTACAGCACAGGTTAGACAAATAAAATGAAATTCATTTACGTTAAAAAGTAAAACTTCTTTAAATATTGTTTGGATGAGTCAATGAAAATTCTTCAAAATATGTGCAGAGATATATATGATAGCTTAGATTCAATCATCCATCCTTGGCTATCATGACAAAAGTATATTCGCTCGCATTCATTACTATTTATTTTTGTTACTTGATATGAATAATTTATTTTGTAGTGTTTACATAACTAATATAAATAACAGATTTTTAGTGGCCTACGATGAAAACTTTTATTTGAATAATAGTGATTTTTTTGCTTAAAAATTAAACTTTTTTCAGTAAAAAATTTCTAAAAAGTATTCTTCGTAAAACTAACTTAATTCCGTTAAATTAAATTGACGTAAAACTAACTAAAATGATTTAACTTAAACTTCCGTAACTATTTATCCGTAGAAGGTTTCTAAAAAAGAGTGGATGGTACAGCGTTTTTAAAGCTGGTTTCGAAATAAATAGGGTGTAAATTCTATGAATTTTCCTTACGTTCACAGAACGGAATTTACTCCACAATTGTGCATCACGAAAAAGGGACTAGCGTTTTTATAGTTTAAATTACAATAACTTTTATGTTGAACAATTTTTAATTCACATTAACACATCGCTTAAGTGAACGAACGCTGTTACAAGCAAGGTCTTTTGAATTCAATTCGACCTGAGTAGCCAGTTTGTCAGTTTGATATCCACAACGAAGTATTCGTATTCGCTATATTTATTTCTGATTAAGTTTCCCCCTCACGCTTTGCAACGGAATCAGATTTCTTGAAAAAAATTAAAAATTAGTCATTCGTATGTAATCAAATAAATGTACACTTACTGCTTAAAGTGGATGTGAAATACAGGGTGTTTTTTTTTTTTTTTTTTTTTTTTTTTTTTTTTTTTTTTTTTAAAACTGTTTAGCAGCCAAGACAGAGTTTATCCAATGTTAGCAATAACCTGTTATGCATAGTACAGAGGCATATTCTTTAAGGCAACGGTCACTTAACGAAAAAATTGTCAGTCTTCAGTTAAGAAATGAAGTGCAAGTTTTGAGTAAAAAATGTAATCCCGGTGAACGGGTTGGCTGCATGGGCATTTTCGTGGTTCCCCCCCCCAATGCGTAACGTGTATATGAGCCAATTTTCTTATAAGTCCTCCACAAAGACATCCTGCCTCTTAGGCAATCAAATAAACCATAGCTCATAATCAAATAAATCAAACCAAAACAAGCCAACCTTCGTCTTGGTATCCAGATTCGTCTTGGTCTTGGTCTTGGTATCAGTTTCCTTAAACATTCTTCTTTGTGTACACTTCTTTTTTTCACAATCAACCTTCATTTTGCTGGAATAAAAGCTTTAAAAATGTAACCATAATGTCTTTCCCGCAGCCCTAAATAAATATTATAATTCTGGAAGAAAAACGTTCTCCAGAATTCTAGAAACTCCCTTCATGGTTTATTTGCTATAATGAATGCATTAAAAGTAATAAATTTCCATAAATATACTATTTTATAAGGAGATTTGAATAAATTACATTCATTATTGCCTTAAATAATTTTGAATATTAAAATTCTAAATCAGAATTTTTAAATTATATGACATATTATCATTAATTTTCTTCAAACTACTGATGTAACAATAATGATAAACTCATAAATTATTTTACAAAATTTTTCATAAATAAATGTATGGATCTATTATTTGACATAATTTTGAAATCTCAAGAAAAATAGCACAAATATATGTTTGTCTCTCTTTCTCGAAAAACTGAAATACTTAATTTTTTTCCTCTCTCACCATCTTCGTCCGCTGTTATTAATTACTCAAAGAGATTACGTGTTTATCTCCTGAAGTATCATAATATATTGCATTTGAAATAAATACCAAAGGTTGAATGACAATTATTTAAGTTTAAAGCTGTTTGAGTCCGTTGTATAACATTCTGTAGTTCAAACACAAAAGGCATAATTTGCAGTAAAAGAAATTCGTACCTAACCACCGACATTACAAAATCAAAATTTGGATAGCGATAATAAAACTTTAAAAAAGAAATGTCACAATAATAATAATTTAGATCCGTTCTTTTTCCTCTTTTTGTGAGTAATGTCGCAATGATTCGAATCATTGACTTCATAATTCATCCAATTCAGATCTCAAATCATGCATACAGTCCATTAAAATATGGAAAACACGTTTTTAATATAATCCAAAATTAAATAGTCTGAAATGCATATTTTTAAAATGTTCTGTCTACTTGCTTTTTTCAGAAATTTTCAGGCAAGACAAAAGAAGCTGAAGAATATAGTATTATTTCTTAGCCCAAGAGTAAAACGAATATATATATATATATAAATTTCAAACTAAGCAGGATACTTTTGTATCAAAGTTCTAAAATAATTGAGGCAAATCTGTAAATAATTACTTTCCTTTGTAAATAGCTGTTTTCTTTGCAAATAATTGTTTCCTTTTGTAAATAATTACTTTCTTGTAAAATGATTTATTTAATTTTATATAATTTTATTTTCTTGTAAAATTAATTATTTACGAATGAATGGACTAGAAAAATTGCAGCTTTTGCAAAATTCCTAGTTATGTAATTTTCGTAATAATCTCTTACTTTCTTTGTATGTTGCCAAAATTTATCTCAATCCAATAATAACGAATCGGATGCTGGCTGGGAATTATTAGAGCCTGAGAAAAGGCAAAAATCTACAAGAAACATGATGGTAATAATTAACCGCTGGCAAAACGCTCAAGAACTTGGCTTGGAAAGCATTCTTTCCAAGACGATATTTTAAGGTTTCGTGTTTATTAAAAATACATAACCATCTAATATGTCTTTTCGTGCGTTTGGCTTAGCAACGAATTCGAGACAAAGTATGTCGGGTGCTTTTCGTACTTGGCTGCTGTTTAAGAGAAAGTTATCGTTCAGGCCCGAATATAAGACTCCTCTGAGCACAAAACCTCACAAGTACATATAAAATGATTGTGTGTGTATTTAAAGATTTTTTTTTTTTTTTTTTTCATGGAAAAGAAGGGGTTTCCGCAGACGGTTAGCCTCACATATATGGTTTGGTTTATTAGATTACGGCAAAGCACTCGAGGGCTATCTGCCTTAAGGTAGGGATGCCTTCGTGGAGGACTTTTTAAGGGAAACTGGCTCGTATACACGTTACACATGAGGAAAACTACGAAAACACCCATGCAGCCAGCCCGTTCACGGAATTCGAACCTCAGACCGAACTACCAGTGTTCAGCGACGTTACCGCTCGGCCGCTGGTGGGCCCCCTCACATATATGAGGCTAGTGTGTTGGAGGTTTCTACAAGGAAGGCAATTAAATAGTTTAGATGTCGTATTTTGTGCTAAATCTAAGTGACTGTGTTTTCGGTTTACGTAAAAGTTAAGGAATAAAGGATAAATTATACTGATATATTCCTTAAATGTTAGGCTTTGCTAGTAATATGCTTTTTAGCTAAGCATTTCAAGACAAGAGGATTCGTTGTCTTGCATTTGGGCTAGTAAGGTAATAAAGAAGTCATCTAATGCATTAAAAAATTCAATGTTAAAATTTGCTCTATAAGATAATAAAGAAGAGTCCACACTAATTTCATATTCCTTCGTATTCACCACCACTTCTGAAACGAATATGTAGGAAACAGCTAAAAAAATTTAAAGTAATAAAAGGGTTGAATAACGAAAAACGTGAAAAAATTTTAAACAATTCTTAATTTCGATTAAAGCCAATGGCTTTAAAAGTAGTTTTGCTTTGAGGTTAGTATTTGGACGCAAGCTGAAGACGTTATAACTCAACTCTTAACACAAGAAATAAATCTGTTAACCCCCCTAGAATGTTACGATTAAAAAATAAACTGTCGGAAAAATGTTAATCATTAAATAAATACATAATACATATTGAAATTAAAATAGTAATTAAAATAATAAGTACATAAATAAATAAATAAATAAATAATGAATAAATATAATAATGATTCTTTAAAAAGTGAATAATTTCAAACGTAGTTGTTAACAATTGCAAACTTGAAATTTGATAGAATTTTTAAGACAAGAAGCTTAAGAAACTGTAAACCGATTTCAAATAATTTCTGTTATTAACATAGGAGAAATTACAATAATCTGAATAATTATTAAATTAATTGACCAACTGAGTTGAAAAGAATAAAAATGATTCTTTTCGCTTATTCAATAGCGATAGATTATTATTATTTATTGCGTTTATTTCTGATCCTTTAAGTGTGTTTTTAATCCTCAGTGGCAGAATGATTATTTGTTACGCGCTGCCACTGACAAGAAAAGACAGAAATATTCTTCATCTGACAGTAGGTAAGATATAAGTGGCAACCTCCCTGAGGCGGTCCCCACTCAGACCCCCATACTATCGAAAATTTGTCCAATGAGGACCTATTCGCGGGACGGCCGGTTTAGGGTTTGACTCCGCCCTCACGCGAGCCCTCTGCTCTACCATCATTAGTTATCTGAATCAGCTAATTCTCGTAAGGGACCCTTCCTCTTTAAGTAACAGTCGCGGTACTTTCCAGTTACTTGCACAGTTTGACACTCAGCTGTTCACTTCGCTAACGTCACATTAAGCACGGTTTTCAGCCGCTTGATTCGGGGATTAACCGCTTTTAGCTTGTCTTCAGGTGTATTCCTAACAGCAAGATAGTTTTGTGTTTGACAAACAGATCACCTATTTGAATAGACATGGCTGTGTCTGCAGCTCTGAATATGAGACCAATTTTCGCCGGTTATCCATTTCAAGGTAGGAATTTTTCCCCTCTTTCTTCCAGAATATCTTGTATTTTAGTGAAGATTATCTTCATGCTAAATTAGGTTGAGCGCTATTTGACTTAAAAAAACTGGCATGTAAATGGAGGGAACGGATTTGGAAGAAAACATATAACTAGCTTCCATATTTTAAAATGTAATCAGTAGCAAATGTTATTTACACGGAGTTCTTTCAGTTTCTTAAATGTAATGTTGCTAGAAAGCATACATCTGAAGAATCAACCCATGAGTCATCACTGGGCTTCGGGTTTCAGAAAATACGATGTACAGTTTTACTCCTTACAGTATTTGATACGAGATGTTGAATAAATGAAAAGTTGTCCAAAATCAAAAATTTCCAAAAAACATAAGTCTGTTAGTCTAATCTTTGCATAAGTCTATGATACAATAGATCCCAGGAATTCATATACCAGAAAAATAATGGCATATAATTCTCGTATGCACGATATTGTAATATTATATCAAATTTTTTAAAAAAAAAAAGTTGATTGATTGCTAAAGCTGAAACCTGTTGTTTTTTTTTGTCAAAAAGCTTGAGAATAGCTTTATAAGCATATGAAACTTGCGTCCGTGAAGCTGCAATTATTAACGTGTGAAACTTTTCAGTTTCAAAATGTCGTGTTTAAGTTTTCCGTTTTAAGGATACTACTTTTAAATACAAAACTGCAAATGCTAATTCAAATAATGAATAAAAAAATTCAAATAAAACCTTTTATGGGATTTAATATAAATTATTAAATCCCATAAATTATACCGTTTTATGACTTTAAAAAAATATGTGTAGTATGAAATTTTGTTTTTTAAATCCAAAGTCAATATGGAAATAGAAAGTAATTTAAGGTAGTTCCTATAAATTCAATTCGTTGATTTGTTCAATTAGCTATATCAGTCAAATTTTCCAAACAAATGTTTTGTTCAAAAAAATTTTAATGAGAACGTTTCGATAAAACTCAAAGATTTAAAAATAATATTTGCACTCGTCTAAATGTTATTTTTATTGTTTACTATTTTTATGTTTACGTTTCCTTTATCTTTTTACTGCGCTACTGCAAAAATTCCGTGACTATAACTAGCGTTTCAGATAACAGATTTACTGGCAATATGTAATAAAATAAAACCTTGATAAAAAGCGACAGCATCATGTCTCTGAAATTTCCGCTTAAAGATGTGAAATCTTAACATTATAAATATATAATCTTAATTATATGTGAATATGTGCAAATAAAATACTAGCTGAAACTTCTCCTTGTAATTTTTTTCAGTATTAGCTTCACTATATTGTTTATTCATTTATTTATTTTTAAACTGTTCATGAATCTTTGTGGAAATTCAGATAGAAGTTTACAAATAATCTCCCCCTTATCATCTCTACGTTTAAAGTGATTCTTTCTATAGTCCCTTAACATTCCATCTATGTTTACTGAATTCTCATGCATAATAGCACAAAAGGAAATAAATAGCAAGGCAAAATATAATTTTTGAAGTTTCTTCTCACAAAAGCGTCTCAGCCAAACGGTAATATTGAATAATTTTTGCATCCCTTTTGCTACTTAATTTATTTCAGTATATCTTAAGGTTTTAAAAACTTTAAACGTTCTTGTATCTGCCTCAGATGTTCTAATATATTCTTTCTTAAACTTTCTGTGCAAATGTTAATATTTCATCGAAATTTTTTCATGGATTTTTTTCAAGCAAAATTCCACGTTTTACCTTAGAGTTCTTAACCCATTGCAAAGATCTATTAAAATATTCTTTTAAAAATAATGTGATTTCATGTCTCCAACCAGGTCATATAAATTCTTCTTTGTTCTTTTTTTATCGTAATATAATTGAATCTTTGTACCAATGATAAATAAATGTATTATAAAGTCAGATTTTCGCTTTGTAGTGTAACACCATTTACATTTTATTTTTATCCAAGTGACGTTATTCATTATTGGGTTTAAAATGCTCTGCCTGCTAGTAAATAGTGACTAAAATTTCAGAATTTAATAGTACATGTAGGATATGCTATAACTTGTAAGATTAATTATCAATCATAATTTCATGCGTTATCATTTTTGAGCTCAAAGTACGATTAGAAAAGCACTCGCAGTCACCATCGAATATTAAGAGAATGATGAAAGTATAAGACGCTTTTAAACTACGCGCTTATTTACTAGAAAGCCCCAGTATGGGAGGCGATTTCAAACAGCAAAGCCGTCTTAAAAGTTGGGGTCGGACTGCGGAAGTTTCGACAAGGCGAGAGGAGTGAGCTGACTCGCCGTGCCTGACTTGATAGGTTACCCTGGTAACGAAAACTTTTCTTCCGTTCTTTGTTAAAATAGAAAGACTCTCAGTTTAATCGATTTTTACTTCGGTTAACGAAGAACTATGAAAAAAAAAAAAAAAAAAAATGACAGTATTACGTCCGAATGGGCAATTGTTTGCGTAATTGTTTCAAAAATCAGAGACACATGTTAGTCGATAAAAACACACAAAGTTGGATCTAAACATTATAAAATTACAACTGTAAATTGCCGCATAGAATAGAGTTTAAAAGAGTTAAATTTCTTTCCCTATGAGAAAAAGATGAAAACAAAATTCAAAATACGACAGTTTTAAGAATACATTTATATATTACTGGTAATATCATTATTGTTTCTGAAGATGAATTCTGTATGAGAAAAAGTTTTACTTCGACTCAATTGAGTAAGTTCTTCGTACAAGTAATGTAATGCAATGTAACATAGGAGTGCGCTGCAACTCTCCTGGCCGATAATATTCGACCTCATGGGTTAACGCAGCGTACCCAACGTAGACAAACAAAAATACAGTTAAAATATTAAAACAAAAGATTCTTCTTACAAGTTCAAGGGAAATAATTACAAGCCCTTATTTTAGAGAAGCCTTTTAATAAATCACAATATTTTGATGCATTAGAAAGTATAAAACGTGACTGCGCTCACCAGCCAGCCGAGCGGATAACGCGATACTAGTAGTTCGGCTTGTATTCGAATGCCGGCAAAGTAGTTTGGCTGCATGGATATTTCCTTAGTTTTCTCCACGTGTAAAATAATTATGAACCAGTCTGGTTGGAAAGTTAGTCAGGAAGGCAGACATTTACTGTGTAATTTGCTGTATTAAGAAGACCAGAGCTAATTTTTGTTCGATTGTAAAATTATTATTATAAAAGCGGTTGATTTTTATAACGGTTGTCTATCATCACCGAAACAAGGTGGTACAATTTCTCTTCCCATCTAATATCTACCTCATTTGGAGAAAGTATCACTTAGGAATCCATAATCGTCAGACCTCACAGGGGATCATCTATGGAAATAAGAAGAGAAGGAAAACCATTCACCTGCTGCAAACCAGTATACAACCAAAGTATCAAAGTAACGGTTGTCTTTTTCGAAAATACTTTCGTACTGAATAGTTTCAGTCACGTTTTTTAGGCTCTCGTATGCTAATTAATTTATTCCACCAGCTCTAATCCTAAATTAATTCCTAAGCTAATTAAAAATAAATTAAAGATCAAGTCAAAGTATTAAATTTTAGTAAATTGAATTTAATTTTATTACGACTTTTCTTTAAAAACTTGTTCATTCAATCTTCAGGAACACAGTTTATCACGTCCTGAAACACTAAATTTCTGAAATATCTAACAATATATATTGGGAATCTAAGTGCATGCATGATTTTAAATCGTTTCATGCAGATTTCTAATTTTGAATTTCAAATATTATATTTAATGCATCAGTTTTCCTAGTACAGAAAAGTCATCCAAACACTGGTATTTTAATGCAAAATATTGCATCTGCACTCATTCAAAGACCTATTTGTGCATAAAACAACCAATTTTTCTCTACATGAAAACAGGAAGTGAGTACAAATCTTAAATCGGTAGTGCCTTCCTAGAAAGCTAAAAGTTATTTAACTGATTAGACAAAATTCAGTTTTTAAAAGGAAAAAAATAATAAATTACTTATCTCAAGCATCTCATAAACTGCTTTTATCTTCCCCAAAATGACAAATTTTAATACTTCAAAAAAGCACTTTTCTGATGATTCTAGAGTAGAATTAAGCAAGTGATTTTATACCGAAATACGTATCACATGGCATTAGGAACATTTCTAATTAATCATCATAATTATGTAATTGTTCATAAAATTATCATTTGGTTATTGTTTACTAAATGTGTTTTAAATCATATTAATTAAATATATTATTCTAAAAATAAAATAAAGATTTAAATTGTTAAGGAATGCATTTATTGCTTTTAAATCTCCATGTTTGTTAAATAATACTATTAAAATTTGAAAGGTAAATTGAATGTCTTATATCACTTCTAATGGGCGGATTCTGATAATAGGCTATGCATGAGACCATTTGGAATATAAAGAAATTTTGTTCGGCCCTACAGTAATTTTCGTCCAAATCATGTGGATGATAAATATATAGTAGCATAAAGAAACATAATGCTGAAAAGTTCATTAAAGAAATTCTTCCCTTCATAATATATATTCAATGTGGAAATAAGGAAACAAAGGCGGTTGAAAGTACACATAAATCCGGTTGTTCCAATTTTTTAAATGCAAGCGTTTGTGCGAAGCATTGAGGCATCTTAGATCAGTCTAAATTAGAATCTGTAAGTTAAAGAAATCAAGCTGATTATACGCAATTTAAGGATTCAATAAAAATATAATGTTGACATGGGCGTTGTTAACAATGCTTTGCTTGTCTACAAGATATGCAAAGAACTAATTTATAATAGTTTTGACTTGGAGCCATCTTGCTGCATTCCTAATATGGGTATATTGTGAGAAGCTCACATATTTTCAGAGTTAATCCAATCGATAAATAATTCTTAAACTAGTTGGATTCTGCAGGTAATCAATGATAGGAAGCGCATATTTTCTGGGGCAGTTTGTCGCGTCAGATACTGATATAATTGTTTTCGAGTTGTTTATGTTGCCAGGAACTCTCTCAAAG